AAAGAAAGAAAGAAAGAAAGAAAGAAAGAAAGAAAGAAAGAAAGAAAGAAAGAAAGAAAGAAAGAAACAGGACAAACACTAACAGATGTAATCACACAAAGGCGAGATGAAAGATAAGGAAACAGTGAGACATGTGTGTGTCTGTGTGTGCTGTTATGAGTTTGCAGAYGAATCTATCACTGAATGTTGTGCACCTGCGCAGGGGAGGAGGAAAAATACTGCTCCCCTTCCTCACACAAAAGAAAAAAAGAAAAAAAAAGAAGGAATGCATGAAAGTAGGTCTTCAACACAAAAAAATATTTTGACTATTGAACAGGTGGTCAGGATTCAGGGTTCTGTGTTTTCATCCATCTTTGAATGTGACTCCTACTAGTCAACATTTCTAAAAATAAGAGACAGTAATGATTTATATCTGGAAATGAAAAAAACGCTTCATTGTTTTTCCTCACTTTTAATTTCACTTGAAATTAGCTTCAACTGGAACAGAATTAAATTGTTGAATTGTGCGTTGTGCACATTTAGCGCTGCGTTTTTGTGACTTTTGCCATGCATAATCTAAAAATAAATGCACAAAATGCATGTATGTATAATAAATAATAATATATTTAACTATCTCATTAAAAATGTTACCAGAATGTTTTTGTTTTTCCCTTTTTTTTTCTTCCGCCTGCACAATCATTTCGTCCCAAAATGATGCAGAAAATCTGGTCCATGCATTTATCACTTCTAGGCTCAAGTGTTCTAATTCTTTAATATGTGGGGCTGCTCTCCCTGTCTGTTAGCAAAATATCTCATGAGTCAACGGATGGATTCTAATTAAACTTTCAGGAAATATACGTTAGGTGTAAATCTACAACTGATTAGCTTTTGGACTGAGTTTGGTGCAATATGACCAACATGGCTAATCAACCTTAGAAAAAAAATCAAAACATGACTGTATTTCAGTCAGTTTTACAGACATTGAACTAGAATTTGATGTGGTAGTAGCTGAGAGTCATCTGCAACACATACTCTGAGCGTGACGTCTTGCAATAAAAATTTGTCACATTTATTTACCGTTATTTAACCAGGCAAATCCCAGTGAGATCACAGATCTATTTTGCAAACAAATCTCTACACAAGATGATTGGAAGTGTACAAGTCTTTCATGAACTTATTGTTTATTATTTTTATGCATTTGTGTAAATATAGAAATCTGCATGTGTTCCCAGCCTCTGGTTTTTATCTTTAGGTGAAAACTGAAGACATTTAAAGTGTTTTCCTGAAGATGTCTTTCCAGTGGCCATAATTAGGGTTTGCTACATGTTAAAATAAATCTTAGGTCTTGTTTTGCTGATTGAGCACTGATTGAGCAATAAACCAGTTTTTGTGTGTTTTCTGGTGAAAAGCAGCAGCATAATCTCTCTATCTTGGCAGGCTGGTCAAGGACAGCACTGCGGCAGATGGCTACATCCGAACACAAACCTTTTTTTGTCGAGCGCAGACTGTTCACGGAGGCCGTAAGAGGGAAGTTGGAGAAAAACAAGCTGCGAAAGAACAAGACTGGGAGACTCGGGAGGTGTTTATTGAAACAGCGAGTCCTTGTAGCCGCTCTCACCTGAGGACGCGAGCTCAGCTGTGCGCGTCTCAGGAATCTTTTCATCCGTCAGACAGGAGCTCTGCTGAGGCCTCGGCCGTTTTTCCTGCACCGACTCGCACTTCAAAGCACGTCGGGGTGCTGCGCGAGGCGGTATTTAAATGCAAACTGTCCCAGAGCACGGCTGAGCAGGAAAGGATGTCGCTTTTTTTTTTTAGAATTTGCTGAGACAGAAGATGAAGAGGGGGAAAAACGGGAAAAAATCTTTTAATACACGTCTGATTAACGCACAAAACAGCTGCTTGTAGAGAAAAAGTTGGAGTCGAGCTCGTGAAGAGAAAATAAAGCTTATCTAGTTCATTCAGGCGCCAAATAACCATCATCACGGTCTTCAGAGAACACTTTAATTGCTTTGCTTCTGATCTCTGATGCAGCAAATATTAAATTTTCCTTTACAAAGCACAAGGTTTAACAGGAAATCTTCTAAAACAAATATATTTTAGAAAATCCCCTTTTAAAATGTTGAAAGAGAAACATTTTATTTCTATTTCAAAACAAACAATAACCAATTTTTTTTTGAAGGCATTCATATCACCTGCCRCGTTTTGAGTTTTAGAATAAAATCATTTTGTGATGAGAAACAATGGAAATGACGCCGTTTTGGTCAAACCTTGAAAATACTGTTGTGCACAATGTCACACTCACTGACAGTTATTTTTGCATCAAATTTTAGCTCTAACTATTTGAATTATTGTAATTTTTTCCAGGCGTGGCATTCATCTTGAACTGGATTAACTGTAGTAAATATCAATCTAATAAYAGACAAAGTTTCTCAGAGTTCTCCATTTTCTGTTAGCACTCAGGGTGTTTGCTGTGGAACAGTCTTAGCTACTACCGCACCAAATTCAAGCTCAYATTCTGTAAAACTGACAAAGATATAGTCATTTTTTTCTGCTTTTTAATGTCTGTAGTCGTCATTTTTAATGGGATTGACTCCAGTTGTTGCAAATCTTCRTTATGTTCTAAGACGGGCGCCCAAACTTTTACCCAGAGAGGACCAAAATGAAAATCTATCTACCGTCTTTATTCATGTATAATATGATCTCGAGTATAATACAATTATCATTTTTTGAGCTTACAAAGCATAAAAACCTAATTATTAATAACGTGTACTTTATGGATGATTTTTAGGTTTACATTTCTAGTATTATTCATGAATAAATACAGTACTTTTTTAAATTATTGAGCTAGCAGCCATAGCGGTGGCCCATGTTTTTGTTTATTTTTAGCCTGTGCACTTGGAGAAATTTGATGTACGCTCGTGCAGCAAAGGCTCATGGGACATTTTATAAATCGAGAAAATATGCAGGTCTACATGTGTGCTTAAATCGAATCTAAATGTCTCTTGTAGTTATTTGTGTTTAATCTTAACATAATTGARATAAAGATAAAGTGTTGAAGATGAAGTCAGCATCGTGAGTGAAGAATATCCGCACTACAGCCCCCCTACAGCCACTGGGCCAAACGATGCAATGGCTGAGTGGAAATACAGTGTTTCTATTCAAGATGACAGGAGATTATAGCAGCCAGGGCAACAGCTGGTGGGGTCAAATCAAGAGGACTGGTGGGCCAATTTAAGCCCGCAGGCCTCACTTTGGGCACCTCTGSTTCATAAGGTATTTTGCTAACACATCAAACTTATGAATAAATACAGGGGCACTGTCACCACTCTGCCTCGAAGCAATAACCATTGTATGTTTTATGACATTTATTACTAAGATATTATACGGGTTATGTATAATTTATTCACATTAAATATGTTGAAAGGGGCCTGATTTTTTCCCCAGCACTGACTGCAGCAGTTTTCTTAACGCAAACACATGAAAGTGGCATCAATCTTCAACTGCAGCTCTCCGTCAGAAGTCTCTCCTTCAAGCCACGCTCTGAAGCTTTATGCAAACCATGACTACTCTGTCTTCATTYGACAGTTCTTTACTTTCATGGCTGCTGGCGATGCGTCCGCATGCGCGCGCCTCCGACTGCGAGGGGAAAAGCCGAACAAACACACCCGTGGGCTCACTTGGGTAATATTTTATTTACTCATTAATCTTCAAAACTATTTTTTTATAATAAATTTCCACTTTATGTTCATCAAAGAACCGTAACAATAAAAATAAAAGTAAAATACTGTAGAAAAATTGTACATATAGAAAATAAACATGGTCAATGAAACACCTAAACGTGGAATCCCGTCGGTTGAGACGCCTCCTTTGCTTTAACACAACAGAGATGGTAAGGGTGGGGTGGGTGGTGGAAAGAAAGTCAGAAACATGGATGAATCCAGAGAGAGGGGACGTACTGAACAAGAAGAGAAAAAAGGGGGCAGGTAAAGGAGGTCCAAAAGGCCAGTTGGGGATGATAGAATAATGGGAACATGTTAATTTTGACGACACACGGGAAATCTCACAGGTCTCACAGTCAGTTTTATGTTCCTCCTTGCCCTGGTCCATGTTTGCATGCATCCGCCTGGTTAGTTACGTTGTTGGAAGAACTGGAGGGGCTTTGCTCGACTCATGGCACTGTTTGTGTTATGTATTAGTTCATGGGGCTGGGGGGAGGCGGGTTGGGGGCTACAGTTCATGAGCTGTAGAGCGCTCACACACTTCGAAAGAAAGGATTAGGCCGAACAAGAAATCCCTCCCGGGACATCGGGGGTGTTGATCGATGAGCTGATCGGCAGAATGGAGGCAAAGAGAGAACAAAGGTAAAGCAACTCAAGTGTAKCTGATATGGCATCAAGAAATGGGCTTTTCTATCTATTAGCAACACACGGTAACATTTACTTTCCTTTCTTTTCCTCTGCTGTTTCTTTTTTTATAAAAGGTGGTTGGTTAGAGCAGGTACTGGTGGGCGTGGCCTACAGGACATCAAAATAGAAAGCAGGACTTCACCTGTGATTAGGCACACATATCCAGGTGTTACACTGCGACCTGCTACACTCCCCTCCCCCTCCCGCATGGGAGGAAAAACAAAAAAATAAAATAAAATAAAAAATAAAAAATAAAAACCTGGACACACCACCACTCCACAGCACAGCTCAGAGAGACTCAGGCATGCAGCACACTCGAGATGGTCACACTTTAAAGATTCGAACGGAGAGTTGATTCTGAATCATCGTCAAAAACCGTCGCTTAAAACAAAATTAAATAAAACTGAGTAAAACAAGACTTTCGGAGCATGTTTATGTGTGTCTGTGTGTTTACTTCAATCCAAAAAGTTAACGATGGCGGTGTTATCTGGAGTTTTTTTTCTTCTTTTTTTTCTTTTTCTTCTTTTTAACGCAGTATAAATCACACGGAGTAAGATAATTCACGTGCAATAAGATTCCCCCCTCCCTCCCTTCCCTARAGTCTGTACTGCCCGAAGGTTATTCATCGTTATCGTTGTCATAACAATTATCATAGTGATCCTTTTCACCTCCGTCTTCAGAGTCAGTCACGATTCAAAGAGATTGTGGGTCTTTCAACTTTAACTCTGCGTGTGTTTTGTGTATGTTTGTGTGGGAGACACTGCAGTCGTGCGCGACCGGCGTCTGTAGGTAGCATCTGAAGTCTCAAGTATCCCGTTCAGGAAAAACACCTCKCCGTTTCCCCTGATTCCACCTCTGTGATTTACAGGGCCCCGTTAAAAACATCAGCTCTGCGGCGTAACGACCACAGCTCATCTGTTACATTAATGGGCACCAGCCCTGCCTCTGCCTGTTTCACTCGTAACTCACCGCCTCTCCACGGCTACACAATGAATTCCTGTCCTGTTCCTCGGGGCTAGGCTTGAACCGTCGATGTGCTTGTCTCCTCGGYGTCCTCTGTGCTTTGTCGAGTCCCATCTGCTAACAGGGAGGAAGGCCAAGAAGCTTGGAAGAGACACTTAGTGCTTTTACATCATCTTTGTTCTTGTGTGCTGCCTCTCACTCAGCCCACTCAGCCTGCCGTGTGCTTCACTTAAAAGTCCTCCTCAACCTCGCTCAGTCCAGAGGTCCGGCTGTGGCAGACACGTGTCTCGTCTGGCCTCAAAAATGGTTTGTAGCTGGGAGATGAACTGGTGCTTTCTAACTCATTTGGAATGGTGTTTATGTTCATAAAACAAGCCTCTGAGAGAGGCTCTGCTCATTGGTAAATACTGTACACAGTAAGGGCCAGGGCCCTCAGGCGTGTCTGGATGTGTGTGTTTAAATGTGTGCGTGTATGGGCTTGTTTGTGTATGTTTGTGCTTGCCAGCATGTGTGCAGGTTTGATTACTGGGGAGTAAACATTAAAATCATCAAGTCTTTGTCCATGTCTATGACTTTTTTTTCTTTTTTTCTTGGAGAATATATCTATTTATGTACAGATACCATTATATATAAAGGTGTAAGTGTCTGTGTCTCTGGGACATTCCACCTCAGACATAATACTCCTTGTCTTTGTTCTTTTTGTTCTTAGAGATCTTGGCGATGCCCAGCGGCTTGTCCTTGGCGCTGCCGTTGGGCTGCGTGGCCGAGTTGCTGATGTAGTTGCGGCTCTCGTCCACGTGGTACGAGCCCTCGTCGCGGTTGCGGTACTTGTACATGGCGTAGAGGAGGATGAGGATGCAGAGGGCGGCGGCCGCCACGATGCCCACCACCATGCCCGTGGTGCTGCTGCTCTCCCGCACCACCTCGGACGGGCCCGGGAACACCTTGACTTCTGGCAGAGGAGGGCCGGCTGCGGGTTTGATAGCATATATGAGAGCAAGTTTGAATTATGGCCTAAAGGGCCTCTCAAAGAAAATGATCTCTCCGTTCATYATGAATTTGATCAACATGCGATGGTGGTGGGTGGAGAGCAGGAAGACATAATGGATCATCATGATGAACTATTGGATGAGCATTTTGCATAATGGCATGCTGGCAGGTGTAATCTGCAGCTTAGAGCCAAACTTGTTTACATATCATCTGATTATGGATTACACGTCAGCGCTGCGAGGAGGGTCAGAGCAAAGACACTCATACTACTTCTGACACATTATGATGAATGCAGGTGGTGACGGTTGCAGTAGTTGACATCAAATTAAATGATGCTTGGTGCAATAATTTTAATCTTTTTGGCTTGTGAGCTGAGGAAAATAAATAATGCAAAAATAATTAATCCTAGGGATGCACCGACAGCAAAACTCATATCAGGTATCTGTCCGCTGCAAAAACTGTCCATCTTACCAAGTTTTAAAATCTTATATCTAGCCAAAAAGTCTTTTTGATCTTTTTTGAGACTGATTTACTAAACAAGAACTGATTGTGTAAGAATAATAATCTTGTTTTCAGAATGTGTAAGATTATTTGTCTTGTTAGYCTGAAAATTTGACTCAAATTCAGTCAAAGATTTCTGCCAGTGGAGTAAGAAAATATTACTTGGTAAGATTCTTGAAATAAGAAAAAATTGAGTCAAATCAAGTATTTCAATAAGTCTTACCAAGTAAAATGTTCTTACTCCACTGGCAGATATTTTGACTTAATTTGAGTCAAATTTTCAGACTAACAAGACAAATAACCTTACACATTCTGAAAACAAGATTATTATTCTTACATAATCAGTTCTTGTTTAGTAAATCAGTCTCAAAACAAGATCAAAAAGATTTTTTGGCTGGATATAAGATTTTAAAACTTGGTTAGATGGACATTTTTTGCAGTGTCCAAGTTGTACTCRTTTGATACCACAGTACCAATACATCTTTAGTGCAGTGTAAGGTTGATCTTTTTGCGAATAAACATAAGAAAAAGACAAAAATGTGACCCATCACATCGAAACGAGGATTAAATCCAAAAGTGAGATGTGGAAAAATAGGCAGACAGAATGTTTTGAATTAAACGTGCAAAAATTGCATTTTGTCAAAATATAATGCATTAATGCCTTATCAATGTATGATTTGAATGAACTGTCTGAAATATAATCCTAAAAAAGATTTTTTGAAGCATTTTTTTGAGCAGTAGCAACAAAAAAACTGATTCTGAAGGAAAAACACATTCAAATTTTGAATTTTTCCCTGTGAGATAGCAATGTTTTTGTTTCTTTTCAACTGGGATATTTTAACCTACAAATACTATGAGATTTTCTCTTTATATTGAMATCAAAACTTACTCAATKAATTTACRTAAAATTAGGATTCAGACCAAAGAGTWATGTGTTAATGTAACCAACAAAACAAATWAAGTCATATCTCTGGAAAAGCTYATGAYATCAGAATGATTCAGATATCAAAATGTAACTTTTAAAGCCAKRTCATTTTGTCCAAATTTRACTTAATCCTCATTTTRATATGATGGATCACAAATAAGAAGCTGTGGGGCAGCATTTTAAAGTAAACTAAYTGAGCAGAGGAGGGAATATTTGGATCTGAGCCTGAGTTGCCTGACAGTCTCCCTGCTCAGTCCCTGGCAAGACAATGAAAACCTTCATCCTCATCATTAATGAGGTGTAAAAAGACAGTATCAAACGTGATAGCGGTGAAAGAGTTATCGATTTGGGAAAGCCGAGGAGGATATGAGAAAGTGGGGAGGGCAGGGAGCAAACAAAGAAAAAAAAAAAAGCAAAGGAAGGTGTGAAGATAAGAGGTGGTTCTGGGACACAGCAACCAAAATGGAAATGAAAAACTCATAAGAGCAAGTGACCGAAGGGAAGGAGGCCGACAGTGAGCGTGAAGAACACATTTAAAAACAAGCTGAAGAATGGATGTGACACACGGACAGGTCTCACCTGAGCTAAGGTCACAGGGGTCGATGTCTTCATCGTCGCTCGGACACTCAGCCGACGCCACCAGCAGGTCGTCCGCCGACTGTCGGGACACAGAATCCAGATTTTAATGAAATATACACAACATGCAAGGTGCTCCACACCCTTTCTGGTTATTTTCTACACGTGTGAGCACACAGCATCAATCCATCGCCCACCCGTTATCCAGTTTGCACTTCGGSCCCCAGCAATGGCTGGCGGCCAAAACATGGGCACGAAGAAAGAAAAACGGGAGGAGAGAAACAATGAATCCTGCTTAAATCCACCAGGGAACTACCAGCTCTCTCCTTCTCTTTTAACCCCCCCTCCCTCCTTTTATCTTTTCCAACCTTTTTTCTTTTTTCCGCTTCATCTGATGCTGGGACGCGTTCAAAGTTTGAGCGGCGCGTGGATAAAAATACAACACAAAACACAGCAATTAGTCATTTTTATTCAGCGCCTCTCCTTGAGCCTCTCCACATTTTAAACAACCAGAGATCTAAACAGCAGCTCTTCCTTTCTGTCTCGTCCCCTCGCGATGGGAAAGGCGCCCTTTCCCCCCCCTCTCCATCCCTGCACCTCCTGTTGCCATGGCAACTCTTAAGTTCAGGCTGTTAAAAATGATGGGGAATAATAAAAAAAAAAAAAGACAGGGAGCGTGCACCCTCAATGGGGACTTGTGCATTGATTTGCTATTCCTGCCAGGATGTGTGGGGAGAAGAGAGAGCAGAGGGAGTTGCTAAAAAAAAAGAGAGAGAGTTTTAGGTGGAGAAAGGGAGAAAAAAAAAGCTGACAGACCAGAAGGAGGGATTCAAAGTGCTGCTGTCTTTGCTTAACACCGCGCTAATGTGCGCCGCATATTCATGAACCACTGTTAAACATCTCCTGCCTTTGACGCTTGGGCATGGGAGATTCGACCGTGTGCACGTGTGCGTGCGTGCACTTTCACCACGCGGAGCGCGCCGTGAAATTAAAATTGGATTGTGATGCATTGCAGTGGATGTTAGCAACCCGATGAATAAAGGAGAGGGTGGAGAGCGGCGGAGTTACAGAGAGAGAGCAGCTCAGGAGGATGCTCACACCCAAACTGACAAGAAAGGACTGAAACCAATTAAAGAAGTAATGATGTTTCTGCTTTCTTTGTGGGGGTTGTAGTGAAGAAGCTCGTCCAACATCCCACGCGCTCGCCCTGTAAGGCAGGATGCTAGCCCCGAACAAGTCTAATGTGGCTCAGGATGGCCTGAAACAGGCATTAGGTCATTGACGCTTGACTTTGTCTCTTCCCTCTGCTGCCTTTCCCATCAGCTCTGCCCACTGGACTGTCAAATGCTGCGAGGGTGAGCGTAGCCGCTGGCATCCAGCCCGTCAATAAAACTCTGTGCCAGGATCCAAACAACACTTGAACCAGTCAGCCGGTGGGAAACACATCGCCTATAATCAGTGTTAAAGCCCAACGCTTGACCGTCAAAAGCACCTGTTTGGAATCCTGATGCCCGGCTAAAACCAAACCCAAGCAGTAAAATAAATAAATAAATMAATAAAAACGAGGTCCCTCCTCTTATTTGTGACATCACACAACCAGCTGACCGCCCCATTCAAACACAAACATGTTAATTGGAGTATTGATCAGCCTTTTTGTGCAGGACGACGTGAACACGAGGAAAACCAGGAACACTATTAAAACTGCTTCAATAACTTACAGAAGTTTATCAGATATGTAAAAAAACAAAAAGGAAACCCAAGAGACTTCCACGCCTCAATCTCAACCCCTTCCAACTTATAGAGCGTGCTGGCACAATGATATACACAAGCTGTCAACAATTTAGAGGGTAGGATTAGACGCATAGTAAACAGGCAAAAAAATAATTATGAAATAATATGTGCATGCTTAAAGAGTAAAATCTCTACCTGAGCAGCCGAACAATGCCAGCGGCCGTCCATGCCTCCCTGACTGCCTAGTTCACACATAGTACCTGCTGTGTCCTCACACACTCCTGCAGAARATTCAACAGCTTGCCTGCTACTTTCACAACTGAAAACCTCTCACACGCACACACGCACAGACCCTACACCAGCCCAAACGTGCTTCATTGGTCCACTTCTGTTGGAGCGGAGCTGCACGAGCACACCAAAGCGCCAGGACGAAGTTGGACGGCTGATGAAGAGATCCTGACGAGAGAGGAGCTAGCTCCACTGCTGCAGATGGTGAGATAGACTCACAGCGCCTGCATTAACAGCCTATCACTGGAGCTCAACCACAGACAGGGAGGGAGGGAGGGAGGGAGGACGGGACACGAGGAGGAGGAGGAGGAGGGGGTAGCGAGTAAATATGGAAAGATATGGAGGCTGAGAGAGAGAAAGAATAAAGTGAGTTGGGAGATTCAGAAGATAAAGAGCGAGAGGCAATAAAAAAAAGCAAGATTTGAAGCTGAAAAATGAGAGAGGATGGGAGGGTGCCAGTGTAAAAAGAATATTCAAAGAGCTTGTATCAGCTGATTTCTAAAGGCCAATCGGGGGCCACAAGTCTCGCCTGTCAACCTTTGACTTGAACACACACACACACACACACACACACACACACACACATGAACCGAGGCGCGCAAAAAGCACGCACCCACCGACAGACACCAAGCATCAAACCCAGGCTCTGTGAGTCAGAGCGAGCCTCTGGCAGAAACACTCACACCATCTCTCCTCTTTTCCTTGCTGATGCTCAGCTGTCGTGCATTATTAATACCTTCCACTTTTCAACATGCGCGCGCACACACACAGACACACATAAAAAAACTCAACTCACTGTGGACTTCAGGAGGCAGCTCTGACTAAACGGACTCTCTCTCTCTCTCTCTCTCTCTGAACAGAAAGCACTCGCAGAACAACTAAAGCCAGTGGCGATTTAAGCAGATCCACTTCCACAGCACATCTTAAAATGCTCAATTATTCGGACTCGCATCAATTAGACGCCCCTCCTGTGATGCAACGTGCTGCAATTCAGGCCTATTGTTCTCAATCCACCTGAGTGTTGTGTGTGTGTGTGTGTGTGTGTGTGTGTGTGTGTGTGTGTGTGTGNCTCGAGCCCTGATTCAATTCAGTTATTTATTTTAAGTGCTTAATTGCCATTATTTAAATATTTTTTTCAACAAAATGAATTCTAGTCAGTTTTATAACCAAAAATGATTCTTTTCTTTTAACATCGGCATTCTTGTCCTTACAGTTGTCTACGGCCTTAGTAACAGAATATAAATTTGAAATAAAAATGTTGGCACAGATCATTTTGTGACCAAAAGTTATCAAATATCAAACTGAATTAGACTTACAGACATACCGCAATGTTACACAACAGCAATGGAATCGATTCATATAATTTTATGAATTTATTCACATTTTAAGCATTTATAATCGATTAATAACGACTTTTTAATTATTCTCTACCTTTGAGCAATCACCATCATTACCATTTTCAGCTCTGTTTTCCTTCGTATTTTTCAGCCCTGATGTCTCTTGCTGAGCTTCTTATTTAACACAAGTAATGTGTTTTGTGAAAACACTTTAATTTGCCTCAGCGTATAATCTGCGTGACACATGAATAAAAATTGCCTTGCCACTTACAGAGGAAAAAAAACAATTTTACTCCCACTACATACCCTCGTCTTTCATATATGGGCTGTGTGCACAATAATCCTCTTACTGAGATCAGACAGAAAGTTATCAAAGCAAATTACCAGTTTTTAATTATCTATTGTGACACTGATGATTATGGTGCAGTGACAAGAAATCTGACGAGAACCATTTGACCACACACGGGAAGGATTTCTGGGTTCACGCTGCGACGGCACTGACCTGCGGCGTCCCGCCCTGCTTCCTGTTCGTGGCCGTGGTGGTCGTGATGTCGCTGATGGAGGGGGCGGAGTCGGAGCGGTTGCCTCCGGTCGCGGCGCCGGACTGCGGGGTGATGGAGGAGGACGGCATGTCGCCGACCAGCCGGGCGCTGCCCTCCACTCTGATGTGCGGGTGGCCCTCGGCGGCCATGTTGAGGATGCGGAGGCCGTTGTAGTAAAGGCCGGACAGCTGCCCCTGGAACATGGGCGCGCCCTTTTCGCCTCCGCCGACGTGCACCGTCGTCTGGCTGTTGAAGATGGTCAGCTGGCGGCCTACGCAAACACACGCACCAAACAAACACACCGCACGGAATAGAAAAGTGGACACGCACACACACATGCACACAAACAGAATGTGAGAGTTGACAGGAGTGACTTCTGTGGAGCTCTCTGCAGCATACAGAGGTCTGACCCAGTTCACACATCTTGGTTCTGACTCCACGTCACGCGTGTCAGATTGACATTGACATCAGAACGTTGCGCGCGCGCGTGTTTGTGTGTGTGTGTGTGCGTGGACAGGGGGATGACGGAGGGGTGAGGTGTGAAAAGAAGCCCCCGTGACGGCGGTGTCACTCTGCAGCAGCATCCATCCAGCTCACGTATCCATTATTGATGCCTGAGGCTCAGCCCGCAGCGATCAGTGTTCTATTATTTACGTCTGGAACAGCTGGTGGTTTATACACAGAGGAACGACTCTCTGTGGGAGTCAGGATGGGAGAGAGAGAGAGGGAGAGCTGCGGGTAGCGGGGCTCGCTATTTCCATGGCAACTTGTATCACAGAGAAAATAAATAAATAAAAAAAGGAGAGAAAGAAAAAGAAATATCTTTTTCAGTGCGGCAGTTTTATAACACAGAACTGCAGCACAGACAGACGCCCACAAAGAGCCTGACAACACCTCTGTAGTGATCCGAATAAAACAGTGCAGCTACTGAAAATGTTTCCCCGTACATCAGCTTCAACTCTGCAGTAGAATTCTCTCTAATTATGTCTCAATAATGATGTCTTTCTACTGTCYCATTTTTATTAGTTTACTAAATACTTATTATGTAAAAGCTATTAAGTCCTCCATTAGGGCAAACATTTAATCGTGCAGGGAGGGACCACTTAGTTGAGAATTTGCCATCTAATCCGTTTAAGTTGATGTGTTGTAGAAAAAGAGGAGAATCCTGCAAACCACTGCAATAAAAAAACACTTTTACAGCAGCATGTTTTTCAAGATCTTTCACTCGTTTTGTCATTCGTCCTATTTATAGAATTGCAGCACTGAAAGCAATCAATTATTAAATGTGTTGTCWCATTTAATTCCAAGTATTGTTTACTGGTTGTGTTATTATCCAAACCATTTTTAGTTTTGTAAATGATTTGCTGTGACTTTGTTAACATTCARATTGAACATATTTGATCATATGACAGTTTTCAGTGTAATAACCTATTATATGCTTTATTGTTCTATTTATTTCTTCTACCTTTCAACAGCTTCCTTAATGAAACTCATCTCAATCTGCTGTATAAAACTATTGTCATATTTTCTTTTTATCCTTTGTGCATCACATTCAAAAATGACTTTAAAAATAACAGCTGAAGCAGGATTTCTATTTCTAAATGAGGTCGTGCTTATTAATAAAAAGACTTTTAGCTGCCACTTTATAATCAGTGCTCTATTATGCATGCATGCGTCACCACAGGTCTTGTCATGTTTTGTGTACAGGCTACAACAAAGCTCTTAGTTTTGTTTTTGATAATAAAACTCTTACTCATCATCGTTGCATCCTTGTGTTACCTTGACTATATTTAAACTCTTAACACAGGCAATTCACATTGATTTTAAAGCCACAATAGCTGTCAAAATAAGCACATTTTTAATATTTTTGATTTTGATTTTTTTGTACATGTGTATCTTTGATAAAATAACTACTAAATCAGGACTCAGCTACATGTGGCCCGCAGGCCGAATGTGGCCCACAGGTGATTTCCGTCTGGCCCGCTTTACTTTTACTTTGCAAAGCAGCTCTTAGAGCTACTTTAGGTGTATTTTATTAAGTTAAAAAAAAGTTTTTAATTTGGGAGGCAAACCTATGTGTTTTATTTGCTTAAAGACGCTGTTGGCATGAACGATTTTAATACTGTATAAGTCACCACTACAACACAGTGCACAAAGCTAAATATACTAATAAATATGCTAATAATTACTAAAGTCGCAAGTCTATAAACAACAGTGACTTTTTACCAGAACCACAAGAGTCTGTACTCAAGGTGTCTTATGTTGTTGCACATCAGCTCACTAAAGTAAGTGTTTTTTTTACTTCAAACATTTTGCATTCATATTTATTAAATCAGAGTACATGCATTTGAGCATGAAATATGTTAAGTTACTGTATGTTGGTTTATCAAACATATATAAATACTTGAATATTTTTAAATTTGCTCTTTTATTACAGCGGGTAAAATAAGTACTGAACACGTCACCATTTTTCTCAGTAAATATATTGCTAGAGGTGCTAATGACATGAAATTTTCACCAGATGTCGGTAACAACCCAAG